AGTTGAGGCGCGAAGCTGAACACTCACTTTCGTCTGGTGCCGAGATTAATAATAAATGGAAGTATACGTCTTCATGGCATAACGGGTAATCCAGCACCAGGGATATAATGACCTTACATCTTACCGCGAAGTGGGACGTGCTTATTTTTTCCTTTAAATAAAGTGGTCTGTTAACTAAAAATCAGTAGCGTATTGCCGCAATATTAGTTATATAGGCTTAGGTTTACTTAAATTTAATTTATGTTATAAACAGAATATAAATAGTGACGGTGCTATTATATATTATCGTTGTATCAAGATAAGAGCGAAAGAGAGGGGGTGGTGCTGTTTAAACTCCGGAAAATCTCTGTTTAACCGTTTTAGTTTATAGAATTAACCATATAATAGAAGGAAAAATGCTATTAGTACAAGCGAAACACTAATTAAGGTGTAATGGTACTTAGTCGCGAAATATTATGGTTTTGCGTATCTGGTGTTGAAAACCATTTTGGAACAGTGTAAAAATAAATCATCACCAATTCCTTTCACGTAATTCATAATCTGTATTCATAACGGAGGAAACAGTTCGTCGACGAAACTAACCGAAAAGTGACCATTTAGAAAACCATACCCACGTTAGGATAATATTAAAATGGATATAGGGAAATACGTTAAGGAAGACTGTGAACTGGTTCTGTGTCGTGTCTATTGGCGCTTTTTGGAATAAGGATGATAAACGTTGGAGTTCTGTTACGCAGTGTCAGTTGTTTTAATTAATGGATTTTTTAGGGGGAGTCGATACACGAGTCTGTTATTGGGCTGAGGGAGCGCTGGGTTTGCGGATTAAAGCCCCATCCTGACTGTGGTTATTTGTGTTTTTCAACACGCACGATTGTTAAGGGTGTGTTGCAACAGAAAACATTAGTCCTCGTGAATAATAAAAAATGCATACAAGAACGCGTTGAACACTCTTGCCAACCATTAGAAACAATCAAAATTTCTCTCCATTAACAGTGGTGTCATTGAAACATGGCAGAGTTGGTGTCGATCTTATCGCATGAATCGCTTCCTCCCATTAACAATATGGAGCTGAATGTGACGTTGGCAGGTGCTAGTCTGGGCAAAGGCCCAACAAGTGTGTTGTAGCACTTACCGTTGATCGGGACGAATCTGTGGAGGGAATCGCTGAAATGCTGTAATCTGTCCGCCAGGTATTGCGCTGATCCGCCATTCTGAAATAAAAAATAAACTGAGTCAGGAATAACATCGCTTCCTCCTCTCTACATTTCTCTGAGTTGCCAACATTTGAGATTTTTTATTAACTCGTTCTTTGTTTGTTGATCTTATTATAGTATATGTTTCCACTTTATTTCGACCGTCAGAAAATTTATGAGAAAATATTTGGACTCGCGAGAGGTGAAATGAACCGAGAACTGAGGAAATTACATAACAGGATACTTCGTGATTTATATCCATCTACTTGTAGAATATTGTCAGGGCGTTTGAATGAAGGGAGTTGTAATGCGTTAGAAATTTAATCGGAGAGAAATATTATTCTACAGAATTTGGTATGGAAAGCTATTTGAAACTATTTGGATCTAGGAGACATTAACTTAAATGGAACTGAGAATGTATATTGTTTAATGAATAGCAGTTTGAATCTGAAATTCGCCCTGATGATGGAGACAGAACTTCCCAACGAAACGTTGGTAAATACCTATAAGACCAAACTGAGGCACAATCCATATATAGAAACCATTAAAATCAAACTTACGGTCCAATAAAACGTACCGAGCGTAAAAGTTGGCTCACGTGGTCTGGTTTGATGTTTCAGAACAAGTATGTGACAGAAATAGAGCTTATGTGCTCAAATGATAATCGATGATTCTATCAATGAAACTTGGCTTTCTGAAATAATTTGAAATGGTTCATAGTTCCACTAATTATTAAGGTGGAGCTGCAGTCTTGCCGATTATACTACATTTCGTTCGTACCTGCATTTGTCTTGTGTCACTTTTTCTCTCCTGTCTCACATGAAAAGGAGACTAGATGAAGCAAAGTTACTAACCAAGAGAACCTCTCGCGGCTTTCTTAAAGCTATGAGCCAACATTCCACTACTTTAAATCACCCGCGTCTTGTTTTGACTTTTCACATCCGTCGAAAGAACTCTTCTTGCAGTGCAGGGATTGCCATGAACAGGGTGGAAGCAGATTCAGGGGATCTTCGGGTAATATATGGGTCTCTGACCTCATTCTCTCCCTCAAGGACCAGCAACGGTGAAGATGGCTCTGGAGATCATGTTTCGTTTGTGTGTGTCTCTTCATTCCTCTCGCATCCTCGTTGCTGTATCTCCCTACTCAACCCCCATTAACCTTTCTTCAAACATGTTCTACTAAGAATGCTACTGAATTGAGTGTCGAAGAAGTGGAGTCACTCCACCACGTGAAAGGATGAGTGGCTTTCGTCACACATCTTGTCGGATGTTAGTAGTTGAGGCTCTTCGAAAGAGAGTACTTACATTCCCTTACGTCTCTAGTATGCATTTAAGAACTTCCGGTTCGTGAAAGAAGTAATTTTGTTTCAAATTTATGTGACTCCTTCATAATGGTTTGGTACATTTAGACACTTCAGTTCGTGTGCAAATTCCAGAAAAGATCCCCCGATTTAAACTGAGGGAGACAAGACGTTTTGGAAGACCAAGGAAGATATTGGAAGCTGGAATACGTCGTAAGCGTCCATTACATTGGCAGTGGTTGAAGCAGCATCTCCGATATGTAAGTTTTTGGTAACGATTTCCAACAAACCGTTGTAATTGGGTGGTTATCACTCTGGACTTTGGAGACCCTGTATTCGATTCTCGTTCCGGAGGCAATTTGCCTTGACAGAGATTTAGAGGATTTGCTTCACCGCTCGAGAGAAATTTTGGGATAGGACTATAGAACAGGCAGCCGCTGCATCTACCTTTATCCCTCCCCATTAATAATTGTTATTTATCGTCCCAGCCCACACTGTAAATCTTGTTTATTTGAAGAAACATTTTTTAATAAACTAAGAAAGAAATTAAACCATTGACATATTAACATTGTAACTTCATACGTTTATTCGTCTCTTTGTCTTTCGTTTCCAAAGTGGCAATAAAAAAATCAAGCTGGATGCTATTCTGGCACGCTTGACCACGAAATCCAAACGCGCACGTGGCGGAATGTGAAATACGCAGGTGGTCTATTTACCTGGTTCCGATGTGCGTTGTTGCGTCTTAACCTCCGTAACTAATAGGAGAATAAATTTCGTTTAACGCTGTTCCTGTCCGACATAGCGGCGTGTTCAGCAATTAGTGCAACCAAGGATAAAGTAATTTCTCATTTGTGTCATTTCGATATATTTCACAGTTTTTAAGACCGCATTTTCAACGTGAATCTGAGACCAATTATATATTTGCAACAAGAATGTCCAATTTCTGGAAGTTAACAACGAAATTATATTTTAATGTTCGACTGGACGTTGAACAAAACGGTAATGGGGACAAATTACAAAATGATTCCATATACATACTTTAACATCAGGTTTACTTACAGTTTTACTGGGTCAAAATTACTGTAGATTTCTCCCACATTATAAGTACCTATTAGAACATATTGGTAGATGGGAAATTTAAAAAAAAATACGTGGGCGAAGGGGCCTAGTGTGGGTCAAATTCTGGGCATGCTGTTACGAAACGTGGGCCGGGAGACCTGCTAATCTGCAATTTTCCGTATTGTCTTTAGAAATTCAATGCAAATGTCAGAATATTAGTTTAAAATGGGCCACGACAACGT